ACGTAACAAACTAAAGAAACGTATCCAAAAGACAGATGAGAACCTCTATCAGGGAGAAAAACACAACCCAAGAAACAGAAGAACCGCCACCCCAAGTGGTTCAACAGTGCAGAAATTAGAAAAATGAGGTTGGTAAAATAAGACCAGATGGTAAGACAAAACAATGAAATGAAGGAGACTGCGTACATAGTATAATACATGTTGGAGATCCTTCCATTTCAGTCCTCCACTTCTTTTAGTCCTACCCATTACACGTTAAAAACTTACGGTCAAGAAAGCACTCTGCCCTAGGACAACCTCCTACCTTCCGCTGCAGAAGGAAAAGCTGACCTGTCCCCTTGGTCTTTTAAAAATACCCTTTGGCCCTGATATTTTTTCCCTCAAAAGGTCCTTGGTGGGTAAGGGAGGCATTTCTGATGCTCACACAACAGAAATATTGGGAAGGTTAATGATAAAACAGCAATCAATTATGTATAAAGAAAAGACAGGGTGCTAATTTGGACTAACTCTCACTGAATCAGATGGCATTCACAAGCCCTCCTGTAAAAGAGAAAGTGGTGTGCCACTTGGAAGTAACAAGCGTGGCCCAGGCAAGACATTTCCCAGGGTTCACTGCTGACTTCTAAGTCCACACAGTGAAAAAGCAAGCCAACAAGTGTACCAGTGCCAAAGGATCTGCCCCAATTGGGCACAACTCTGCAAGGTGCAAAGTGGATGAGAAATGTGCAGCTAAATGAATGACTAGAAGGGTCTGGTTTTGTGGCATGTTTTAATTCATAAGGCACTTGAGTGTCACAAGGACACTCTCAAAATCAATAAGCCAACCTTCTGTGTATATGCTGAGTGACTCCGTGTTGCCCCAATTGTCTCCTTTAAGGATATGAGAGAAAGGAATAGTAAGCAATCAGCACGTGCTAGGATCATAGGCAGTCTGTACACACATGCTCACAGCAGCCTTATCTGTACTAGCAAAACCCAGAAACAACCCAATCGCATTTCAACCCTCTGCAGTCTTCCTTAGCACAAACTACAGAATTTCAGGTTCCCAACACTCTACCTCTCATGACCCTCCTCATCCTTCAAAACCCAATTCAGACCTCATCTTCACCCTAAGATTGGGGGGCTGGGGATTGGGGAGATGTTAGTCAAAGAATATACAATTTCAGTTAGACAGGAGGAAGAAGTCAACAGATCTATTGTACAACATGGTGACTACAGTTAATAACAATGTACGGTATTCTTGAAAATTGCTAACAGTAGATTTTAAGTGTCTCACCACAAAAAATGTTAAGTATGTTAGGCAATGCATAAGTTAATTTGCTCAATCAAGCCACTCCGCAATGTATACATATTTCAAAACAACATGTTGTTCACAATAAATATGTACAATTTTTTATCAATTAAAAATTTAAAAACAACAAAACTTCTGAAGTAAGAAATAAATAAATAGTTCACAAAAAAATTCAATCTTATCTTCACCCTAAACATCCCATCTGGAAGTCAGTCGATTCTCTCTCAGAGCACTTACAATGGTTACTCATGTTCTCTCTCCCTCCAGACTGTAATAAACACGGTGAGAGCAGAAACCATGCCCTGCATCTCTGTACCCCCTAACCTGGCATGGTGCCTTGTACCTCATAAGTGCTCAATCAATGCCCCATCAAGCAAGTCTTTCTGACAGAGTCAGTGTGAGATTGCTAAGTGACAGGCTCACTTCCTAGAGGTAAAGTGAGTGCCTTACTAATCATGTGCCCAAGTAAAGACCTAAGACATACGAGAAAAACAATAAAGATTTGAATTGAATGTCTTTACCTTTGGTTCAAGGATCAGTTCCACCCGCTCATTAGCATCATCTTCTTCAGAGTCTGAGTTTCCTGCTTTTATATCAAGTTGCTCAAATGCACTGTCCAATACTTGTAAACCGTAGTTCACAGCCTCCTGGACTTTAGGAATCAGATCTACTTCTTTCTGTTCCCGGGTCTTCTCCTACAAAAAAAAACACCATTCAGTATAGATCTCCAACATATTGATACTGCCTCACGAAAACACTGTGAATGCTCTCTAAAACCTAGACTCATGCTCCAAAAACCTTACTTAAAAAGTCAACACAGTCAAATTCCGCTGAATGCTTTAACACAGACTTTGGAGTAAGACTGCAAGTTTAAATCTCAAGTTTGCCACTTTCTAGGCATGAATGAAGCTACCTAAGGTCCCGGAGCTTCATGTTCATCATCTACAAAAAGAGAAATGCAGCCATTGTGTAATGGTTCAGTTAGATAAGCTGTGTGAAAGTACCCTAACAACGAGTGGCATGTCACTGCCCCACTACTAGAGGAATAAAGGACCTAGATTTCTAGATTCACCACTGACTGTATCCCACTAACCTTGGTTACTGCTCCCTCGGACAATTTAGGATTTACGACTTAGAAGAAAATACTCCAGCCAGAGATGTCATTTTTCAATNCATTGTGTAATGGTTCAGTTAGATAAGCTGTGTGAAAGTACCCTAACAACGAGTGGCATGTTACTGCCCCACTACTAGAGGAATAAAGGACCTAGATTTCTAGATTCACCACTGACTGTATCCCACTAACCTTGGTTACTGCTCCCTTGGACAATTTAGGATTTACGACTTAGAAGAAAATACTCCAGCCAGAGATGTCATTTTTCAATTACATTAAAAAAAAAAAAAAAAAAAACTGGACAATTACAATTATTTTGTAAATTTGTTCCACATCAGGAGAGGGTCAGATCTCTACTCTATACTTTTTATCACCCTACAATAATACCGCACCCCCCCAAAAAATAAATCTGTTCATATCACCAACCTGCTGAATATTTTCCACAGGTCTCTACTTCCTACAACAGCAGCTCTCAATGACAGTCCCCTCATACACAAGTGTGTCATCAATTGTGAGAAATACTGAAAAAATATTTAGTGTCATTTCCACTCCCCACAAACATTCTAGAAGTTGATACATCACTGAAGGAACCAGACCATACTGTGTCGTCCTGAGGCCAAAGGCGAAAACCCTACGAGTACTTTAGTCTTTGCCTCAAGTACTGAAGTCTTTCTAATTTAAATATTTTTGTTTTGGTTGCATCTTTCTCTCCTCTTTGTATGCTAGGTTCTGAGTTAAACAGCTAATATTATATTGAGTCTACGAAAACATATTTGTGAAATATACAGTGGTTTTTTTAAAAAGTAGCTCACTAAATACCTACCACTTCAATTTAACCCTGACTTGGTGTAACCAGATACTATTGTATGTAAATGGTTAGCAAATCCTTGAGTACTATCAAAAATAACTTCATTTTTTAAATATGCTGGGGATAGGCAGGACTTTAGCTGATTCTAATACCCTCTCCTAGTTTAACAGCTGCATGTTACAAGTAATAGTAATAGTTACTGATAATAAGCCTTTTCTGAATAAATTAGGATTGATTCAAAGCCACTCCCATAATAAACTTCCTCACATTCCACTTTGCTTTCCTGAGTGGGAAAAAAAAGGTAGAATCTCTGCCAAGGTGCTAGAAAGTCAGCGTAACCCAAAACTACTTATCTGTGCTTTGAGGGAGCACCTGAGGGAAAAGGCTTATGCACCTGCAACACGTGAGGCCACAGGAGAAAAGTAGGAACTGCAGCTCCTCCATTCCTCAGACTGGTGTCTCAAACCCTCCAGCATCCAGCCCCCACCTCCTTTCCTTCTTCTCACCTCCATCACCTTCCACAAACATAGCCCACGAAAATACCAGGTATAGGCCCCAATCCTGAACCTTAGCTCATGCATTCTCTCTGTGGAAATGCCCCCTTACCCATCACCTTAAAATGTGGCCCTTCTTTCTTCATCCAGCTAAAGTCTCGTCCTTGAAGCTTTTCCCTGCTGTCTCACACCAGTGACTCTTACTTGTCTGAACTTTTAAAACACTGAGCAGCCACACGTCTGGCGTGCTATGTCCTGTGGCACCAACCAAGACTATAACCTCTCGAGGGCAAAATCTCCCTCTAAGTCACCAGCTCCCTGCAGTCTTACTGCAGAGTCAATTCACTACACAGTCTGTATTCTCTGTACTAGCACATCCTGTAGCATTCCAGAGACATTCATCTTACTGTCATTTTGATCTGGTAGAATAGGAATTAAAGCAGTCATGAAAGACAGGGAAACAGTCTTGAAAGAACTCAGCTACATAGCATTCTATTCCAGAGGATGGCAAACTACAGCCCTGCCTACGGCCTGTTTTTGTAAGGCCCTTGAGACAAGAATAGCTTCTACGTTTTTAAAGGGTTAGATCGGGAAGAGGAAGAGGTAGAGGAAGAAGAGGAGGAAGAAAAAGGAGAAAATGGGAGGGAGAAGAAGAGACAGAGAGCTGTGTGGCCCACAAAACCTGTAATATTTACTATCTGGCCCTTTACAGAAAACGTTTGCCGACCTCTGCTCTATGCCAGAACTCAGGAATTCAGGTATTACTTAATATGTTAA